TGGTAAGCATTGTTAATCTTAGTCTTCTATAGTTGATCTAAAGGTGAACTACTCTTTTGGTAAAAAATACACAGCAAAATAATGTTCTAATCATTCTTCAGTGGTAGTATTCTTTTACCCATTTCAAATCATTTTGTTGGAATATAGTTAGTAAATAGATTGCCAATGTGGGGTTTTGGCTGGGCTCATACTTCCCGACATTAGATTAGCAGCTAAATAAACACTTTTATGCACAATCAACTAGGCCTATACACAGTTTTAATTTTCATAATAGTTTAGCTATTGATTTTTTTTATATAAAAAAAATTACTTCTAAAACTTGCTAAGATTTTAAACAGTCTTAAAACATGTAGACAGTCAGTAAAACCACGTTGCCCAATATTCAGATGTAGAGATTAAAGCTGCTCGGTACAGCCTCCTCCCCTCAAAATCATGCTAATGCCACTTATTATCACAAAAACGTGTCAAGTGGTTAATTAATATCACCCAGCTATTTAAATATACACAATAATCAAATACAACACACATTTTCAGATAGGAAAAAAAGACCAGACTACTCCAGCGCACGACCTTACCTGCAAGTGGGGGAGGGTTGGTGTGTTTGCAGCTGAAGTTGATTTGGCACACGCCGTAGTTGCTGATAAAATAGACCTTTTTCTCTTCTTTACTCCATGGTCTAACAGAGGAGCTGTGCTCGAATGCTTTGCGTTGAGTGCACTTCTATTCATTGTAGTTTTCATTGCATCCTGGTGGGTGGACAGACGGGTGCAGTGCAAGGTAGGATAGATAAACACATAGATAAACTAACAATAAGCGAAGTTAATGTTTCTGATGTGTATTTAATTAATGCAGTAGTTTTATATATGTAAACGATATTTATAATAAAAAAAGAAAATTTCGACAGTTGACAAGTTTTCTTGTCAACAAAAATATTTGCAAACTTTACTGTGTTGAAATTACTTCACAAATTTTGAATTGCATGAATCTACTTCCACCTTCTCATTTTATATGCTTGACCAATCGGTTGCACATAGTTTGGTCTCACAATATAATTGAAATCACCGTGCTCTGACCCTTTTTACTTTCTTATGTAAAAGTATCTTTAAGTATTTCCCTCGACTAATTGGAGACCAAAAGACAAGGAACAGAGTCAGTACCTGTCCATAAATCATACAATTGAGTTGTTTGGCCTGTTTCAGCGATTTGTTATTGTGCTACCTGATAATTTTCCTCAAGAGAAAAATGGTTACTTAATTTGTGTGAAAACCGGAACACGTATCTCAGCTGGTACTGACGCCAAAGTTGGAGTCAGGCTTCATGGGACGGATGGTGACAGCCGTGTGAGTTTTAAAACTTATATGTATAGGTTTATTAGTCAATTCACCTTTCTCAAAAAAGAAAGACATCTCTGGTATTTTGTTATTTCAATTTTATATTTTTTTACGGTGTCTATTACTTTCTTTGTTATGATTTATGTCCATACTAACTAAACTAACATTTCAGTAAGGTATGTTCACGTTTTTTGGATTGTTTCACAATTATCCAGTTTGCAAAAGAGAAAGGGATCTGATGTCTACTGTGGTATAATAAGTTCATGTGGAACTCCCATCTGCTCATGACATTGAGATGTTAAGCAGAATGGTTATGTTAAAGATAGGTTGATGATATTATAGCTTTTATACTAATAATATTTTTCTACTTTTAAAAATTGTTAGAAAAACTTTTACAGTAACTTACAGATCACTTCAGTTTTGGTACCAAAGTGGAGCCATCCTGAGGGGTAGGTATACGTGTAGTGGATGTATGCTTACAGTCTTCTTCTGCAGTATTAAAGATTGTCACTACAGTGCATTGATGTACACAAAGATGTCTTGGAAACACAATACACACGACCATCAGTGGGTTCAATTCAACTCAACTTTCTACAGGTTTCGATTCAAGTAGCCCACCGGTACACAACTTGTAAGTAATGAAGGCGTTTGATTTTTGATGTAGGCCCACGTGCTTCACAGTGAGAAGTGCCGAGGGATGGGTTGGAGCAGTGAGTGTTGGTTTCAGATGTTCACTCGTCGTCATCTCGGTACTCTACACTCTGTACACATTTGGCACGACAACTCTGGTAAATCACCGAGCTGGTACGTTGACTTTCTTACACGAGTTAGCGTAGAAGTTTTATCATAAATGTCTTTAAGTAAAATGCTGGTAAGATAGTTTGGAATTATTTTTTGTACTTAGTGTACGAATTCCGAAAAATAAATGGCTGATCAGTTTGGTAGAAAATATGATGACACTTCAATCAATCAATCAATCAATCAAAATAACATTATTCGTATTGCACATTTTGTACAGAATGGAGTCAGTTATAAAAACACAATATTAAACTTAAGACTACTTACAACAAATATTGTTATTATCAAAAAATCTAATTTCAGGAAGTTGGAAAAAATCTTCTAATTTATACAAGGGTCTGTTGGTGAGAAATAATTTCAAACATTTTTTAAATGAATGAATGAATTAATTAATTAATTACACAACGCACGGCGGAAATTCCGCAGTCTGTGGAACCATAGCTTTACACTGTCAAAGTACACACTTTACCTTCATGGTAAGCTTAAGCTATGGTTCCATAGGATGCGGAATCTCCGCCGTGCGGTGCGATTTTTTCCGCTACGGAATTACAACGACACTGGTTTAATTGAGTTCCCATGTATACGGTTCCACTGACGTGCGTTTCCGCATCCCGAATTTTCGGTTCCGCGTGGCAGACAAATCATACTGGTCTAAGAGCAGTGGCAGTGCGGATTCCGCCAGCGTTGAAGAGGCATCAATTAATTATTGTGCCCGATCAATTTAGTTTCCTAACATCATTTCAATAACCTTATTCTTTTTGGGGATTGTATTTTTTATTTGTGTATCAATAAAACTACAATTTAAGTTCAAATTGTTATTTTACTAATGTTTACTATCATCCATTCTTAAAAAATTAATAAGGCGATTTTTAAGAACTAGGTCTAACATCAGTTTACAATAAAAGTAACCCCTATTAAAAATAATTAAGTCTGAATATTACCTTATATTATTTTATGGTATTTATGGTATTATATTTGTGTTCCATACTCGTCACTAATTTGGACAGAACTGAATTTCCGCAACGTTATTTCCGTAGTCAGTGGAACCACCCCTCCAGATTTACGCTGCGTAATTATCCGCAGCGGAAAATTACGCACCGCACGGCGGAAATTCCGCAGTCTGTGGAACCATAGCTTTACACTGTCAAAGTAGAGTTTCGTATATTGGTCCTTGGGAAGTTACCATGCTGTTACATGGGGAAGAAAAATGCTGACATTTATTTTGATGTCTTGCAGCAATTCATCTTTGCGGCAAACTGTATAATTCAAATTTTTCAACCGTGTTAGTTTAAAAGTAGTTTTCCTCGAAGATGGATTGCTTGCAACACAATTCAACAACGACCACTACCTTCACCCACTCAATGGCAACAGTAATCTCCTAAGATTGGACAAGAGATTTAAAGTTAATTTCAGTTACTTTTCAACTCCAAGTACCTAGTTTTACTACGATCAAAAGAAAGTGGTTAGAGCGCGAGACATTGGTGCCTGAGGTCCCGGGTTCAAATCCCGCTAAATCACCAATGGATTTTATCTAAGTAATAATGCCACAACCCCTAGGTCTAGCCTGAAGTAATGTGAAAAACAATCCCGTGCTCGTGCCTAGCGTCCTAGGAAAAAAAATAAAAAAAATCTATCAAAATAGGAATCTTGTCGGTGAAACTTATATTCTAAATTTAAAAAATACCTGATAAGCTATTACTCAACAACAGCCTAATTTGGGTTTATTGCTAACGGGGTCAGTGTCTCGGACTTTGGTGCAAGAGGGTCAGATTCAATCCTCGGCAAGTTCACAAAAACTTTAGGCGGATGTTCTGCTTTTCATTAAAAGCGTTTGTGATTCATAAATAATTTTTTTTTTTTACAAGTATTTATTTACAATCTATTATATACTAGAACAATAAGTAAATTTCATGACAATTTTAACATGGGTTGGTTACACTCCATCAAGTGCACTAACATAGAAAAACTTATAAAAAGTTTAACTAAAAACGATTTGGAAGGTCTATTGGATTAACTCTTTTGAGCCTATATTACTTCACTATTATCGAGGAGGTTATCTGCCAGGAAATTTGGATGGCTTTCTAATTTTCTTTGATATTTTTTGCTTCGTTTTTTGATTTCTTCTCTAATATAAGGCAATTTTGTATCTTTATGAATAACTTTATTTGTGGCAAACCAAGGTGTTTGTAAAATTTTTCTTAGTGTTTTGGATTGAAATCTTTGAACTATTTCTATGTTTGAGTTTGAAGTGGTTCCCCAGAGTTGGATACTGTAGGTCCAAATAGGTTTCAATATAATTTTGTATAAAAGTAATTTATTTTCAACAATAGGCCAGTCGTTTGTTCCGAATGTGTGAATGCCATGTAAGCCGTCTGTCTTGTCAGGTAAAAAAAGTCCAAAAGCATCCTAATGTCCTAAAAAGTGTGCTGCTACTTAAACTGATTATTTCTGATTCATTGGCTTCTTCTTTATGAACATTTTGGCATTGTTTGATCCCTTAAAAATATTTAACTCGAGGTCGTGGAATATTTTTGAACAAGGGTGAGATCGATGGCATGAGCTGTGTTGATTGTACTTTTAGTGACTAACAAACTTTTTGACAGTAAAATTTCAGCTGGAAGTAACCTTATCTTTGTCATCTTACCTTGTCATTTACTTTAAAAGGTACGTGTATTAATATGATAGTTATCATGGGTATTTATACTGATTACATTCTTGGATCGTGAAACTGTTGAAAATCATAATACTTTCAATTTAAGTGCATAAAGGTATCTATTTGATTTAAAACAATGATAATGCGTTGTGTAGCTTAAGATAATTTAACGAGTTTAATGGTTCATTACCTATTAGGTTTTGTGAATCAATATTGGTGTTCGACATGAAAAAAGAACACTGCTACACCTTCATTGTAAATGAGTGGATTGACATCACTGCCGCCAACATTCCTGAAGTATTTGTAGAGCCCCTGCAGTTGACAGCACTGACTACATGGAGTAGCAAATTCATGAACCATTTGAAATATGGATTTTGTTACAACCATCTTTGGATAGCCATGGTTTTGAGGTATGATGAATTAGTTTTTTGTACATTTTTATCTAAAACTAAGCCTTTATTTATAAACAAATAGAATAAATATAAATTGGCAGCAGTGCTGCGGTTAGCACATGTTCCGGCGCCTTGTAGTTACGGCACACACCGCTGCAGCGTACGGCTCCTGCGCTCTTCGTCTGTAGTGGTGTGCACCATAACTATACACAACACTCCTAGTGGTGGGCCCCGGGAACCTTCTTTTGACAGTCTATATTTATTCTATTTGTCTATGGCCTTATTCACTATCTTTGGTTTGTCCCCATACGCGAAGATTGAGCACACACCTAGTAATAATAATAATGACCTTTCAAAATAATTTAATATATGCAGCATATGCAGTTTATTCTTCCAAAACCACACATTCTTTGTCCATTGTGGATTCTAATTTGCTTTCTAGTCTGTTTACCCTTATTTATTTTCAATCGTATTTTTTCTTAAAATTCTCAAACACCGGCCCTCTCATATCCTTTTTGGATTTATAAAAATGTCTTATGGCTGCTTGGTGCTGCTTAGTGAATCATAAATTTTCTGAAATTCTTTTTTCGATTCTGCCTTTAATAAGGCTAACTTGACTAGGTTTTAAATAAATAAACTTGAACAGTTTTGGTTTTCTTGAGGTTATTAACAGGAAAAAATCTCATTACAATTGATTGTTTTTGTCAATTTTTAGCAAATTTCTCATATAGGGAATAAGCTATTACCTTAGGTCTCATGGTAAGAACTGGACCTGGAACAAGGCTGGACAGCAAGCTCGCCTGGAAGAGCCATTTGGGGATAATATCTTCTGGGGATAATTTTATTCCTCAGGGCCCACTCATTCTTTATTTAACATCAAGCTTCCACTGCCATTGCTCTGTTGAAATATTTTATTCACTTTGTTCTTCCAATCCAGGGGCAACCAAAATTATTATTAATTATCAATTTTCAACTATCAATCATTGAGATGGGGACGCAACCTAGGTGCGTATTTTAACCCAAATATGAGTGAAGGATGAGTGCAGAATGGTGTGAGATGACTTGTGTAGCTTTGTTACTGACTAAGGTAAGTTTCATTAGTCAGGATAATTTATTTAAAGCCCAATGATCAGGAACAGCTGGGTCCAGTTTCGAACCATCAAAAAGCTACTGACTTTTCTCAGGATCGAACCGGCAACCTTTTGATTACTAAGCGAGCACTATAACCACTCAGTAATAAATAGGACTACTTTGGTATACGGATGGCTCAAAAAAGCCAACGGGCATTGGGGCGGCAATATATGGAGTCAAACCAAGGTGCAGTTTTGCGTACGTGTGGGGAAATTGGCCACTGTATTCCAAGCAGAAGTTGTTGGAAACAAACTACCTTTTACAATAGGTAGTTTTCAACCAACTTTTTTAATATTTACTTTTGTGTGCAGTCACCCAAGAGATCCAGTCAGAAGAGCTAGTCGTCTTATGATAGGAATTATCTTCATCCTTACCTCAGTGTCCGCCAGCCTCATATTAACAGTATTCTCAGAAGGAGGTAAGCAGATGTTTATCAAACTAGTTATTTTAACTCAAGTAGTGTTTCATATAGCATTTCTTGATATTTAAAAAGTTACATGCTGACTTCATAATTAATTATTTTAAAACGCTCTTTATAACTTTTGGATTAAAATAGAAAATGCTGTTGGTTGAAATAATTTGTTTGGTAATTTAAAGTAGTTTTCCTTTTCGTCATTAAAACAGCCAAAAGGCAAACCTTAGAAACAATCATTCCTTTCCAAGAAATCATAAAGTTTTATAAATCCGAAACAAATTCAAAAGTAATTTCATGTTACAAGTTTAAAAAGGAAAAAATGTTTATAAACTTGTTATATTATAGAATCTGGTGTAATTTAAATATACTGCTATCATATTTGTAGGGACTGTTGGAAGCAATGTTAACATTCACAAGAAACTTTGAATAGCTGACAAACAATGTACAGTAAAATATTTTTGCATAATTTCAAACTGAAACTCTAAATGCAGGAAGATATCTAGAAGTGAAGGAGGACCCACCATCATTCTCAGTAGAATGGAGAGATTTTCTTATTAGTTTCCTCACAATGATTATCTCTGCTTCGGTAGCTAGACTAATGCTCTATATACTTAGGTGAGTTTTTCAACCAAACTTTATTGTAGTGATGTACAATTTGATTCATTTTGGTGCGAGTCAATGAATACAAAGCCTTTAAAACCTAAATGCTTATGGAGAATAGTCAGACTGGAATTTTGCTGTTAAAATGAGCTTCGCACGGCCGCTGCTACTATCTTTCGCGGCCACGCATCTCTATCTCACTTTAAGCCCATTCTTTCTCTCTCTCTCACTCAGTCAGCTCACATCACCGCGTGCTCGCGATAGTCTACCTATTGGCCGCAGGAACTATACAAAATTAAAGTATTCATAGACTGAATTTTTAACAAAGGCATTGCGCTTCTTATAAGTTTTGTATTCATTGGTTGTAATCAGCTGTCTGACTCTTTTTGTATTCATTTAAAAACATGAAAAACAACATAAAAGGTTTGTATATACAAACCAAAATCAAACCTATAAGATGATTTAAACAGTATTTTTACTACTACTTTTAACTACTTCTTTAAATGCAACCCAAATTATATTGGACACAGAGATTAAAGGTTTAGCTTTGAAATAAGGTCATATGTTGGCAGCGCTGCTTCCTTCATTTCATTGCCGATCAGCAGCTGATATACAGTTTAGCATTGTTGTCTATATGGATTAAGGTCTCTGAGAATTTATTGTGAATAATACAACACAGTGTTTTCACAAGTTCAAAGTCTATGTATTATTGAAGTATACATTAAAAATAAAGTGTCTGTTTGTGCTAAGAAATGTTTACAATTAAATCTTTAGGTGAGATTTCTTCCCCCCAATGTCTACAGTAGGGTGTATCAATAGTCACAGGTTTTATATGAAAATTGTTTACATCTGTTTCAGAAAATCCTACACAGTCTGGTACTGTTCAAAAGACGAGGAGAAAATCAAAGTGGATGGGTTTTCATGCAGAAACGCTCAATATGCAACTCTAAAAAAGAACGATGAAATCTTCTCTGGGGAACTGACCTATCTCAGTTACAACAGCAGTAATTTAATTGGAGTCAAAAGTGAGTTATATACTTTAGTCCATAACAACATGTACCTCAAAATGTACTGTCTTCTATTTAACTTAAAAACTAATACATGTTTGGTATCAAACCTTTCTTGGGGATGAATGGAGAAAAATATGTTCGGTGTTAACAAATTGTAGTGTTTATAATTATCGTGTTCTAATTTTCATCAAATTCTCAAAATTATTTTTAAAAAATCTCTCATTATGAAGGTTTTTTTTAAATCTGTATTCACGCCCAAGGTTTTTTATGGTAACAGCAAAAAACAGGTTTATCGTAAGATTGAAAATTAATAATTAGTTATTATTAGCTATAAAAATATTACAAAAGTTAAGTTAAAAATTACCTTGTGAAAACCACTTTGAAATCTTCCAGAAGAAATTAAAGTATAGTACCGGTATTCAAAAGAATTCTTGTATTTCAACATAAAGTTACTCAAATTTTAACTTGCTAGAACTATTAAAACGTGGTTATAGTATCACCTCATTACATGATAAAATAAGATATGCTTAGTTCCTGCCAATAATGGTGTATAATAAACTGAGTTTTTCATAAAACTATAGGGGGTAATAATAAAAAATTACATCTTTTGGACAAATTTTCAAGGAAGAACTCTAAACATAAAAAGTATGGTTACCCTCAGGATGGTTAAATATAGGCTATGAATTTATTTTCCATAGGCTGCTCATTGCTACAGTATATTGCTCTACAATTCATGCAGCAACCCCTGATCCCAGTCCAGTTACGAGGGGACAAGCCGGCAGTGAGCGTGAACATCGGCTGGCGCTTTAGATTCATGTAATACATCAGCTGAAAAACTTCAGCATATCGTACAGTGAGAACAATTAATTGTGATGGAAAGTAGTTATACTTGGTTGTTCTTATAAAACTAAGTGAAATTTAATAAATAAGGAAATTCTGGGGTGTTTCACAAGTGCTTACTTAAAAAAGGTAAACAATTTCACACATAGACAATGTTTTCTACATTCTTACTCTTCAATAAGAAAGGGTCCGCGGAAATGGCTAACTCTGGAACTCGCTATAACCCCATGTTAAAAGCCCTATCTTCAAATTTGGTCAATGAGAGGAACTCGCTAACTTGTTCGGTTTCGGAATTGGCTAACTCCGGAACCCGCTTACCCGCTCTAGAGCCGGGTTAGCGAATTCCGTCCTCGTACGGAAGTCGCTAACTCGGTCCCTCGGCGGAACTCGCTAACTCCCAATCAGAAGCCTCACGGGCCGTCCAATGGGAGCCAAGCACGAATATGTTTGGCCAGTGTTACCGAAAGTGTAGTAGGTACCTATATAGTATCGGTACCGTAATGTCGTATCCTACGATTAATTAGGAGTAAGAGCAACGTAGTTGATCAAATAAATATATTGAGAAGTATGTTTAACATTATTCCAGAAATACATTATTATTCCAGTCCAGAAATACATTGTAGTGGCAATGTATTTTTAAATAGAGCTATTGAATTTAAATACATATTTATCAATACAATGTTATAAAGTTCTAGGCGTAATTTATTCATAGATTGCATTAAAAATTAGTCTATGCATAAATACAACTTGTAAATTTCTTTTATCGTAGGCTATTAGTGTAGAACCCGGGCAATCCTCTTAATTTTGTTGAATTAATTTTAATTTTACGTCTTTCAGTAGGCCTACTTTTTAAAAGTCGGGAGTTTTTCTCCAGGCTGGTTCTAAATCGACCCAGGCGTTCTTGTTTGTTACAATTCTTATGAATGGTGGCCATACCTAAAATTACTTGATCTTATCCAAAAACAAAGCTATTCTATTGTCTATTGAGTAGCTCAGTACCGGGGAACGGTGAACCGAGCAATGGCTTGGTATAGTTTATTTCGATTGTGAAACCAATGTAAAAGAAACCCAACTAAGAAAATCCGTCAATTCGTTGATTAAGAATCGTGAATTAAAATTACCCTGTCACGTTTTATTATATGAGTATTATATCTTCTCCTATTATTTACTAGTGGTGCTTAGGTGTACAATCTAAAAACTGTTTTAAAACATGTAACATTATTACCAAAGATTACATATGCTAACGCAAAATAGATATTGCAGCTTACGGCGATTTTGTGCCAAGTCGTTTTTGGATGGGGCCACCTTCACGTAGCTGGGTGGTCCCTCAACAGAGGCGCTGTGTCAAGTCTCGATCTGCATTACCGATTCAAGTTCGGGCAAGTACGGTAATGTTCGGTCGCGCTCGGGATTAACTCACCTGTTCTTCGCAACTACATCAACGCGCTGACCTGTCAATCAGTGTTTCCATTCTAGGGATTAAAATGGGATGCAGGATAAAATTGGATTATTGGCTGTGACGACTATTTTTTTATTATTTTCTACTTAATTTTTAGAAAACTAAATCCGATTGATTTAAAATAATTTATCAAAATCCTAATTGGCTAGAATGTTTAAATAAATTTTTAAAACATGATACTTCTAATATAATTTAATACTAATGATTGAACGAAAAAAAAATCATGCAGGACGAAACGGGATTTTTAACAATTTATAAGCTGGATTGATCGACCCAGTAGCTATATAACTTGGCTTAAAATACCTACTTTGTATGGTCACAATTTCATTTAAGTATTAAAGTATATTTTTTTGGTCGTGTGGAAACGCTGCTGTCAAACGATATGACAAGCACAGAGCTGTCATCAATGTTGTACCATAACTTTATTTTACAAAAAGTACAATTACAAAACTAACATTTAACATTCCACATTTAAAATACAAAGTCTAGGGTAAGATAAAGGAGAACAGGGTAGAAAAGGATTTATTGATGTAAACTACGTGGATAAAAATACTCAAAGAATACAAGTTTAAAGACATATAGTAAGCAAAAATGCTATAATATTTTTTTGCATTGACTTTTAACGTAGCCTATACTAAGAGAACCCTTGACAGTTTATCAATATTACAGATTTTGGACATTTGTGACCTTTTGTGATGTTGTTGACTTTTCCGATTTTGGAATTCGCATCGCTTTAGACATCCACAAAGTTTGCTTCTTGATTTTCAATTTCATACAATATCTTATCATAAACTCACGATGACGACTACATGGTTTTTCAACTGCCAACCATTCACTTGCAACTTGATAGATTTTAGACCTAGCAATATTCACAAGGGTATTCAATACTGCATGTCTACTTTTAAGTCTCTCAAAGTTTTCTTGAAACAAGGTCATCATTAGGTCAGTGACTTGGACCATAAGGGAGGAGGGCGCGATTAGGTGACTCATGCCATCTTTCGTTTTGAAAGAGCGTTTCAATATTAACAACTCGTTTGGTTCATCAAGCCGCATGTCTTCCATTAACTCAGAGCGGCAGCGTTGGCAAGGAAACTTCTTATTGAGGACGTACACTAGATATCCAGCAACGTACCTGAAATGATCAGAGAGATGTAAACGTTGTTGTTGATGGCTGTGTTTTGGCAAGAACAAAGCTAGTCATTATTTGTCTTAAAATGAGTCATGGTTATTAATTTATTATTGCTTGAATAAATAATAAATTAGGCCGGCCACACACAGAACCAGGCGGGTCGGGGTGCGACAGGGCACGACGAGACGCCTGACTTAAGCCCTGTCTTGTTGCTGTCACACACAGAATGAGGCAGGGCACGTCAAGTAAAAAGTTTAGCCCCCCCCCCATAAACCTGAAAATTAATATAGGATTTTTTATTTCTGAGCCTTGAGCCGATTTAGCCCACTTTTAAATTTGACTTTATACTTGGGAGCAGAATAGAAAACAAAATTCAAAGTCATACCTCAAGAGGAGTGGTTTTTTAAACCCTTAAGATATGAACGTTGGCCCTCTCTTTCCTCAGTTATCAATATTAAGATAAATTATTAGTTATTCAACCACTGTAGTAATATCATCACTGTATAGTCTTATCAAAGGGTGTAATCTTTGGTCGTATTAATTGTTAGTCTTGTATGTAAATTGTATCAGTTGTAAAATAATCGTTATAAAAATTTAGCCCGTAAGGGAATAAATCACATGACCGCGCATGCGCAGAAAGTTCTGCCTGGCAGTGACTTGCCTCGGGGCATAATTTTGGAGACCTTCGCATTTTGCCCTGAGGGCGTCTTTTTGATGGGCCCTGCCTCACCCAGTCCTTTGTGTGGCCGGCCTTAATAATCACGACTCATTTGAAGACAAATAAAATTTGCTTTGTTTTAGCCAAGACAAATGGTAAGTTTAAAATAAAAACTAGCATAAGCCTATTAACAAAAGAAAAAAAACACACACATACTGGTCATAGGAAATTACTTACCACCGTCCGTGTTTCTAGTTCTTGCTCCACGTCTTCTTCTCCGTCTATGTCGGAAAGTCGTGCTTTATTTGTTGGCTTCTGATTTGACTGTAGTGCTGGTGTAACGGTTATCAAAGTTTCTTCTATGTCATCAACTTCACAGTTACTTGTAGACGGAGGCTTCATGAGAGTAACCTGGATTCGACGGCGAAGGTTTTGCCTGAATCTCATTGCCGAAGGATTTCGGTCAAAACCTCCTTGCATCCGGGATATGGCAAACTCGTGTTCCAGGACATCTTGGGTCAGCCGGTTTGTTAAGAGAAATTTACATTTCTCTTCAGTTAAAGTTTTCCACAATAGTAGTACAGACATTATTGTTAACTTAAGCCCATGCAAACATGGTGGTTTGTTTTGTCTTGATTCAGTGTTCTTTCCTTCCTTTGTTTGTTTTCGTGGAACAATTTTCTCCAAATTCTCAACCCAGGGCAACGCCTTGGAAAGTGTTTCTATCACCTGTTTTCCTTGAGGAGTGTGGTTTGAAACACCGCACCTTAACGGATTGGCGTCAAATAAACTTCTACTGTTGAGGCAGTTAAAGATTTCGTCCATATTTCCAATGAACTCAGCAGTCCCTAGTGCTTCTTTAGGGAGTTCTCCGGTACCCACAGCCGTAATCATAGCTGCTTTTACAGATTGACTGAAGACTTGCGTAGCATACTTTACTTTCATTTTGTCGAAGGTGTTCGGACTGATATGTTTTTCAGTAAGTTTGCAAACAGCTCTAGCCTTGTTGTCTTTTGAATCAATATCATAAAGAGCCTTAATGTGCCTCCAAGAGGCAGTTCCACCATCAAAGTTGATGTCATGTTTCATAAGATTATTCCTGATGCATTTCATGATATGTGGTGCGTCATATACAAAAAATACTTTCCTATCTTAATACGAAAAGTAGGGTCTTTCTGGGGACACGTTCAACAAATTGACGGCTCGGGAGTTGTTTTTTCCTTGGTCACACACTAGGGCACGCACATTTAGCCCTATGCTAAAAAGTGCATTCAATGCGTCCATGATGAGTACGTTTAAATTGGCCCCATCAATCACAGATGCACATATGAAATAAGCAAACGGCATTTTCCATGTTTTGAAAAAGTCCTCTTATGGCGAACAATAATACATGCGTGCCTATCCGATCAGAACGTCCCAGTATCCCAAGGTCTTCAAAGCCTTCTATTAAATCAATTTTCTCATTATAACATAAGCTCTTCTTTATTGACATTTCATCAAACACCAGAACTGAATTTTTTTCCATTTCTGACATTGTACTAACTTTTTGTTTCAACAAATTCAATAGTTCTTCTGATATTCCTGTGTTTAAATCTAAAACATTACACCACCTTGAAATTGTACTTGTATCTGGAAGGTACATTTTTTTGTCATCTCGTAAGCTGTTGTACAGCGCCGGTGACCGGTAGTGCATTTCTATTGACAGTTGTTTCTCTTCTTCACTCCAGCTAGTTCGCTTTTTGTGGAACATTTCCATTCTCAAAAGAGTCTTCAACGCATCGCTTTTTATATATTGACTGGCAGCTAAGAAAGCAGCTTCTTTTGACATGGGCTTTAGTTTTTCTCTTCGATAGCGTTGTTTAAGGCGATGAAGGTTTTTCTTTTTGTCAATCAAATTTTTTTTTTCAGTCCAACCTCCCTCCGGGTTTCAAGTGAGTTGCAAGCTGTCAAAGTCGGTAAATTGTCATGTAGTGGTATAGTTGTGTCTCTGTTTACTGGTGTATCTATTGGATTACACGTGGTTTCTGTGGATGTTATAGGAAATTGAAAACCTACAACATTGACTGTAGACGTATCACTAGATGATGGACCAGCTACAGCGAGACAGTGTTGATCGTCTGTAGAGGCAGCAGTGAGAGCAGACTGCTGTGTAACAACCGGTGTATATTCATAGTCCATAACCAGTCGTGTTGGTACAGCATTCTTATTTAGTTGACTTCTTATATTATTTGTGTAGCAGTCAGTTTCAAAATGGAGTTCACACACTAAACGTGAATGCAATGCAGTGTCAGGAAGGTTTTTAAGTTTTTCGTTTGCTGTGTTTTCTACCCATTTATCACAGACACTCTTGTTTTTAATAGGAAATTTGAAAAATCTTAAATTTGGACTGTTAATGCGATTAGATAGACAACCAATAAAAGAGCACTTCTTAATACCTGGCATTGTTCAAGAAAATGTACACATCATGACACAATCGTAATTAACTACACACGTTCTTCACTCTGCTAATTTATCTAGTAAACTTCTAGCTTCAAAAAATCTTCTAATGAATGAAAAAGCACAAATAAAGGTTAACCATAACACAATAAACAATAACAAAAAATACGTAAATATATAACAGCTGGTCATGTCGGCAATTAAGTCTTAGGTTGTAAAAACATTCGCTAGGCCTCGCATGGAATTTGATATCACAAAAATGGCTTAGCTGCAATATCTATTTTGCGTTAGCATATGTAATCTTTATATGTAATCTTTGTTATTACTAAAAAATTCAACACATTTTAGAATTAGGCAACTATTTACTAGTAGGCCTACAATGCTTTGGCTTAAACTATTAGGCCTAGATAAAAGCTTAGTCTAATGTCATATTTTTACACGTAAGTTGGACGATTCAACGACGAACATTTAATTTTAAATCTATAAATTAGTTATGAAAGTTACGATGGTTGATGACTGATGGTTGATGTTTGATGACATTACGATTAAATTTGTTTTCCCTGTTTGAGAACTAGCGTGTATTTTAGCTTAATTTCGTAGAGGTTTAATTATTTAGTACCTTTTCAATATTTTTCAACTCTATTATTTTCTTTTATACTTATGGCATTTATATTTAAGATCGAAATCATAAACATTTAACTGGCCATTTTGGAGTTAAATAAAAAAACACTTCTCATGATTTTTTAATAATTGTCTTTTAATTACTTTGGGCTAGTTATCTGTTAAAAGTGAAATTGATAACAAAAACAATTACATTTACTGTATCTTCATTGACACTGATATTTTGAAATACGGTAATGTACGATTATTTTGTCGTGCAAGATTGGCAACGCTCCATGCAGTGGGTGCGGCCGGGTTAGCGACTTCCAGAGTTAGCGAATTCCGCCGCGAGACAAAATCGAGTTAGCGGGTTCCGGAGTTAGCCAATTCCTGACTGAGACGGTTAGCCAGTTCCAGAGTTAGCCAGTTCAGAAACACGACCGAGTTAGCGAGCTCCTGAGTTAGCCAATTCCTACGTCTCATAAGAAAGCTAGTATGTTTGGCCCGTGAAACCCCCATTTGAAATGCACATAAATACATTCAGTAAAATATCTTAGCAGTTATCTTCCACATTTTACCATGAGTGATTTTTACAAAGTAAACAGTATTGAAACTTATATCAATACTTGGTTATAGTAATTCATAGATTGCTTTTGTGCGTCAACTAGTTGCTAAGTGCACTCTTTGGATAGCCACAAGCAGGTATTGAAACTATTTTCAATATTTATAGTTAATGGAAGCTATAAAACCAACCATGAAGAAATTACAATTTTTTTTATTCTCTTTCTTGGAAAAACATCCATAAATTGCAATTTTTTTTAATGTTTTATTTTGCAGATTATTTTGGCTTCTGGTTGTTTTACAAAGTGTGTTTGTCAGTGTGTTGTTATCGGACCACCTCAGTCCTAACCGCATCAGAAGATGGGTTACCATTGTTGTCATGTCAAACATCATTCATACTGTCATCTATTTGCCTCTCAAGATACTCATCACGTCACTTGTGCTATCACTGACTTTTGATGTGAGTTTTAACTGTTTAAGCTGGTGTTTGTCAGCAAAGTTAGTAGATAGTGAATGAAACTATTTAATTTGCAATTTCATCAATAAATAACATTATACCATTTAAAACAAACTATGATCTGCTGGACCAAACTATGGTTTTGTTTCTTTTTATAACATTGTCATGTCCAAAATTATTATTAACCAATACTGTAGCTATGGACTGGTAGCTAAGTAGGATTAAAGGGTAACTGGGCGGGCTCCTCTCAGTTTATCCCTAGTTTGATATTTAACTATTTAAGATGCAGGAATAATATTGTTCCCAATATGTACAATATACAGCATATACCTTGCATCTTGAAACCACTTCTGTTTCCTGTTCGATTGCCATAAGTTGGGGTGTGCAAGAATTGTTGATTAAGGTTTAAGACCAAATAAAACAATTAAAAATTTGTGAATAACTTATTTTGTCTTGTGGATTACAACCAAATAGTACAGCGCACAGTAAAATTAACTTTGAAAGAGAAACATTAATATCAAATGAACTCCCACTTTTCCAATATATGAAACATACTCTGATTTTATATTTTATAAAATGATGAGTTCCAACTTAGAGTATAGAAAGTCATAATATTAAAATACCTCAAGATTACAAGTAATATCAGAAGTTCCCTAAAAATAACCTTGGAGAGATCACAGTGCAAAAAGAAATAGATATTGTTATAATTTCATTTCTTTTGTTTGCAAAAATTACTTTAGCTATATATTTTTTTAACCACTACGTGGGAATGATCTCATTGCCACACCTGTAAACTGTACGGAAAATAGCTCATTTGTGCTTTATTCATTCCCACTCACTAAGTCAACTGCAACTGATATCACCTTTGCATATGTCGTTTCATTCGTTCCAACAAAAAATGCATTCATAACCCTGGTGATATTTGATGCACTACCAAAAAGTTAATCTGTATGATATGATAAGTTAATTACGGTGGTAGGAAAAATCGTGTGTATATTACGAGCACATACAGTCATTTGTTGCTCTCAAAATGTATGGCCGCACAATGATTTAGCTGACATGATAGCTGATGACATGACATGGTACTTACAGACCTCGGTCAGCAATGACGTACTTTGCGCTCTGGATTACACAATATAAGTATTTTATAAATTGTGGAACTATAAATTCTGTTTTCATTCCAAATATTTTCATATATTATTGCTGCAATAATATTTTTTTATTGTTGCAGCGCATCATATACAAAGACTTCTACATACATGATCCAGCAGATTGTCACAAAACACATCTCTTTGGAAACGTTGAACATCTAACAAATGTAATCGAAGAACGCATGAAACCTGAATATAAACCTATGAATGATTCCGTTCATAAGGTTAAAAGAATTATACTGTCTAAATAGTTATGTAGTACTCCTACGTCCAGTTTATGGGACACAAGACTAACACAATGAAACTTCCAATTACATCTATCTATGCGAGTATAACTGAACATTAATGGTGAACGCTGTACATGACCATATGCGGCAGCCTGAGAGTTATGTTTATAACTGCTACGTTTCCGCTATTCATTTGTGGAAATTTTTTGTGGGCCTCACTCATTTTTATTTTGCCCAGTGATATCCAGGGCTCATCATAAATCATACACACATACATATATATCACACACAATCGTCCTTGAAATGAAGCCTGACATCTCGCGGAACCCAATAAATGCTTCCCGGGTAGGAAAACTATTTTTATCCTGCACGCAAAAGTCAAATGCCTAGCCAAGACTCGACAATTGGTTAGTGCAATGGTCTGAAGAGTTATTTTTTTGGTTTGTTTACAACAACGTAGAAGGTTTAAATCCAATTTTGATTGAAATCTGGTGCGCAGCTCATGAGAAGTTCACTTATATGTGCACATGTAGAGAGGCCCACCTATGAAATGAATGGTGGACGGCTCACATGTAAGTTGGCGGAATGGGTGAATTCTTTGTGAATTGTACCATTGACGTTAGGATAATGAAGTAGACATCCCATCTACATAGACCAATTGTAGCCATTTTTTATTATAAGGACGTAGTTGAATGAGCCTCTCACAGAGTGCACTACAGTAAAATTCTATTTTCTGCCTTAGTTATTGTTACTAAGATAGTTGACGAGACTTAAATAGCTTACAATAAGTTATTCCAACAGTTAGACTCGGTGAAAAAGTTGGTGTATTCGACAGAAAGTCATTAATTAAATTAGCACTTTCTGTCAATTGCTCAAATCAACTACCTACGTATTTATTTTTATTACCAATTTGCGACAACTTAGACAAGGGTACGGTATGTAATGTCTAGTTCCATCAATAGTCAAATGTTGTGCTTAAAACCAAGTGTTTTATTGCTTTTACAATTTTATTTGTTTTTAATTGCAAGTTATGAAGTAATTATGTGATCACCTCAAAGATAAAATTAGATTTTCAGTTTTAAAGTATGAAAACTGTTGTTAATATTGCCTAAAATTTACATCTCATATTTTTTTTCAGATGTACCAAGAAAAAAAGTTGAGAATTATTAAATGGAGGGCCACAATGGATTTTGTGTTTTTTATTCTGTTTGTAATTGTTCTTTGTAAGATATTGAACAAAGACAATCTCCTCCCGTATTTTACCAATGATCACTTACATTCTATGTTAGGAGCTTCAGGTGATAAAAATCTCCCAAGTTTCAATGCTGTCTACAATTTGACACAGTAAGTAAGATGTGTAATGGATAATTTTAAAATCCTGCTCTGAATTGATACTATAAGAATTCCTATTACTTTTTCCATGATATGTTGAACAGCTTAGGGCAGATTGTTAAAAAATCATTTAATTTGACCAATATCAATAAATTGTTAAAACCTTTTGCAAATCTTCACCTTTGAATTTTTTCCAAGACTCCAAATAGATTAATTTTATTTATCGATAAATAAAGGTGAATCTTATAGAGTTTTTTGAGAACTAAGCATGATAGCAATTAATGAAATATTTATTTTTATTTATATTAACATAACCTCTCCTCTTCCGGTTATCTCCGGGTCTGGGTGTTCACTAGGCCCCTCGATCTTCTTCTATCCCTTGACAATTTCTCTTCCTTATTTATTTTATTTTTATTATTTTCATTATTTTTATTTATGCTTTGATAAAACCTAAACTTATGTTTGTCACCAGATTTGACAAATTCCTCAAGCAATCGTTTAGTTTATCTCTGTCCAAGTTTTTCTGGTACAACAAGAAACACATTCAAGAAGGTATGCATATGGTGATTAATTTATTTATAATATTTCAATTAATCAAGACTTTATTAATACCAATTTTTGCATATTTATATGGAGTGTAGGCTAGAGTCTTGCCCCATTTTCACCAAAACATTTTGTGATTAAAAAAAAGAATCTCTAAACTGAATAGGACACAAAATTTATATTTTATAACAAATAGTGCCAAAGCTATTTTAAAGCGAGCTAACCTATAAGTGCTGTAACCTAAGATAGCCTCCAGTGAAAATCCAATATTGTCTGTTAAATAAAATTGTGCACTTGTAAATTCTTCAGTGTTCTAAGCTTTGGTGGTTTGACTTTGAGAGATGAAAATTGTGAAGTTTGGGAAAAACTGTTCAAAAAAATTAGCAAAGAAAGTAAGGTTCAATATGTTTTGTCTTTCTACATTATATTATTAACTGATAACTTGTCGGTGTTAAATGCCTTGTCAAAACAATTTCTAAGTTGTATGAGGTGCAAAACTTGCAGAGAAAGAAACTTGTTTTTGGTGACATATCCTTCCATTAGTTTGCTTTATGTCCATTTGTGATAGGTATCTCAGTCTCCTCTTACTCATATAGTTGTCTAAATCGTAAATGTTTTCTTTGAAATAGAATCATTGCAAAATAATTTATTGGTAACATTTTTGGTAAAGTTATAACTTTATAATTTAAAATTTGAATCTTCACTAAATGTTGTCTTAATTAGGAAACAATCCGTTTATGTAGCTTCTGAGTTCTTCTAATATTGTAGTCAATTCTGTTGAATTTGGGCTAGTTTATAATTTATAAAAATAAATATTTCCAGGTAGGAAAAACCAAGAAAAGAAGGATTGGTGTTTTGACAACACTCACCGAATGCTAAGAAGGCCGCACTTCACTCTGTCAAGGGTTAAACCTGGTAAATTATTTTGGTTTTACAATTAGTAAAATACTGGCCTATTTCTGCAGCTACAAATAACTTTTAAAATGCCATTGATGTAGACAAAAAAAACTAAGAAAAATAAGTGGTGTAGTAATATATCCTGAGTAAATAGTTTCTGAGTTAAACTAGTGTGTTCAAATGTTTGTGACGGGATTACGGGCTGCAAACTCCAGTTGCATGTTTTCAGGCCACTGCCAAGTGCCTGGGGTGATGCAGACTGTGTCTGGAGCTCTAGAATGTGCTGCTCCATGGGACCGTACTGCTGAAGACACACAAGTCTACAAACCTTACTGGACACTTCCAGAACACCTGGATAACACTTCCTACTGGAACCCAGGCAACTGGTCCTACACTCACTATAGTAACTATAATCACTGTGGTAAGATGTACAGGGTGTCTATAAAAGAACTCCGGGATTTTAAAAATTAATATCTTAATAACTGTAGAAGATAGCAAAATGTAGTTAATTTCTCTGAAACGAGTAGCTCATCAAGTTTGACTCATACCGATTGGGAATGTTTTCATCAACAGTTTGCTGTGCTGCGGAGCGTTGACCTTTAAACAACGTAGTGCTGCTGTCAGTGCTGTCTGAATTGCCGTGCTATGGCAACGCCGCAACAAAATGCTCAGTGCATTATCTGGCTAATAGAAACTTAATCTGTTGTTACGGTACAAATAAACTTTCGGTGTTTACTTTACTTCCAACCAAATGGGACACCGCCACATTTCAGTTCGCGTGTGCGTGAGGCACTTGACGTTCGACTCGGCAACAGATGGATTGGAAGGGAAGGATCGATTCCATGGCCTCCAAGGAGCCCTGACATGACTCCGTTTGACTTTTTCTCCTGGGGGCACATCAAGAATCAGTGTATGCAGAGAAAATTCATGATGTTGACCATCTCAGGCAACTAATAATCAATGTGTGGCAACTGTCCCCCCAGACATGCTGGTCAGGACATGGGAAGAGGTGGAATACCGTTACGATGTGTGCCGTGCCACTAAAGGCGCTCATATTTAACTTTATTAAATTGTTAAAAAAACTTGAAAATGTAACCTTTCCAATCATGTATTAAACATGTATATCAGTTTTTTACTTCAGTGTAATATTTTGCCTTGAAACCCCGGAGTTCTTTTATAGACACCCTGTATTATTGATTCAAACATTTTTTTAGGATATGCTAATTTTATTCTCTGAATCTTTGAGGTCACCTTGAGTTAACTGAACCTCAAATCATGAATCTAAATGTAATTGCCTTTTGAGTTTCTACAAAAACCATAAAAAACTTATGTGGTCTAAATATTGTATAGGTAACGATTGTTTACCATTAAATTATTGGCAAATCAACTCACTGAGTAGCTGAGTAGCTATAGTGTTCGCCTAGCAAACGAAAGGTCTCCGGTTCGATCCTGAAAAAAAGTCAGTAGCTTTTTGATGACTTGTAACCGGATCCAGCTGTTCCTAGATCATTCATTGGGCTTTAAATAAAATGATCCTGACTGATGAACCAGCTGATCTTAATCAGTATCTACAAAGCTACACAGATCATCTCACAACATTCTACACTCTTCCTTCACTCATGTTAAAATACGCACCTAGGTAGCTTCCCCATCTCAAATAATATTGCATATTGCTCATCAAAATTCATTAAACATCCATTGTAAAATGATCATACACATGATCAACATCTATACACTTATTATGTTATCCTAATATTCTGCAACCCCAATCTGTGACCTATTTTTCCTTTGAAAAGTGTGTAATTGAATACTAAATATAGTTATAGTTTTTGTTTTTAGGTACTTTGGTATTATACCACTTATTTTACAGTTTGCTGTGGCAGTTATGTTAGGTTGGGTTATCATAAATATGTTTGTAAGACTTTCCTCGTTTTGTTATGAATCGAACGATACCAGATGAGTCATACTTTATATTTATGATAACCCAACATAACATAACATAAACTGACCTGGGAGAGAAATTGTAATGACCAAAGATATAACAATTTTAATTATAGACATACTGGGTAAAAAGGAGTCAGTCCATCGTACTGGGACTGTAAAGTATTTCTTTTGGGAGCGTTTAATCGCTATTTTCTTAATTCTTAAATTCTCGTTTTTGTGACATTCCCCCTTTTTGCTCTATTGACCTAATTTGTGTAACCATTGTTGCAGGAAGGTCTGGGCGCTGTTACCCGAGTGGAGGCTACAACAGAAGTCTGTGGAGCGAGGCTAGAGTGGTATTGAGTGTGCGAGACGAAGGATGGATGGATCACTTCACTCGAGCGCTGCTAATTCACCTCACTCTTTGTAATGTCAACACTCGACGCATTGTGCCCGTCACTCTGGTGGCTGAACAATCTGTCACTGGAGAATTTCTTAATGTGATCGTGGTAAGGATTTTGTATTTGTCACACAAAATTGTAGAATACATACAGTATATATAGTACAGTGGACTCTTGATTTTCAAAATTGATACATTTTCAAGCAAATACATTTTAATTACCAAGAGGTTTGACTCATTAGCGGGAAAATAATTCATTCAAATCACAAAGAGTTTATGTTTTGAATTCTGTATTATGTTGTATTATGGAAGGTACAGAACAATTAATACGCCAACACAAAATTTGACAGTTGAACTCCACCTCCATTTCTTAACCAATTTTGACCATTCAAGTCTCATTGGAAAGAGCGTGTTGCGTAAATTTGTAAACTGACCTTAAAAAAGTCCCTTGAGCTCTGCCCTTACCTTACCCTCTGGCGCTACAGCCCATGATGAGCTTTGGCCTCATCGCAATTTGTCTCCAATCTTCTCTATTTCTTGATCTCTGTCTCCAATTACCAATTCTCAGAATTTTCAAATCCTCTTTAACATTTTGCAACCATCTTATCTTTAGACAACCTCTCTTTCTTGTTACGTACATTTGACCATCTAGTAATTTTAGAGGCATCCTTTCATTCCCCATTCTCACTACGTGACCTCATTGATCTTAGCCTCATAGATTTTATCACCCTATCTTCTCTATATCTTCTCTATATCTTCTAACTACATCTTCTCTATGGATTAGATTGGGCTCTGCCCAAGTGGCTTTTAAAGTTCCCATGTTATCCTTATGAAGAATATATTACTTACTTAAGAATATACTTACTCATTATTTAGCTACAAAATCATTTACTAAATTAAATTAAAAAATCTATCGTTATCAATGACATCATTAAGATGAACTACCGTGCTGACAGATGTATAGATCCCTGTTATGGCAAGAAGGAATCCCTACCTTCAAATTATAGTGTTTAGCCGTCAAAGCAGCTTCAATTTACTCTGTGTTTCAAATCGGCCTGCCCTCTGCTTGAACTTCGAAATACCAAGTGTATTATAATCAATAATCCATGGTAAAACTTTGAAACATTAAGAGATTCTTAAGGGACTGAGCTTTTATTTTGAATTGTCGAAAGTTTTGATTTACTGAGTGCTTGAGCTTCTACTTGTTGAACTAGTAGAATATACACACACCACAATATGCAGAACACAATATGCTGCAACACAATATGCTGCAGCACCAACACAATATGTGATACAATATGCTTTGTTTGATATCTTCCACTATCAGATATGAGGTCTAAGCTAGTAGATTAAAGTTATAAAAGTCAATATTTTTTTAGGTAAAAAAAAACAAAACTACTCAACTAATAATCCTAGTGCCAGCTATAAAATTTAAAACTTCTTTTGATTGACGTTTACAGGTAGAATCGAGGGGCATTGTTTTTGAAAGAGACATTTGGATCGTCATGTTTATGGTGTTTGTAATTATATATTTAACAAGGTTTTTAATTAGGTTAAGCTCTGCAGGACTAGATTTTTACTTCAAGAAGGTTCATAGACTGTTTGATCTCTTATTCTTAATCATTCTACTTTATAGCTTTATTATTTGTACAAAACTTTGTTTCATTCAAGAATATTTTCACGTTGATGTTGATATTGATGAAGACAGTGTGTTTCACACATTTGAAACACAGAGCTTCTTGTTTTATGCTCAGTCAGTGCTAATCATGATATTTATTTTATCAATTGTTAATAATTTTTGTGTTTCTCGTGTTTATAATTTTGGAAGACATTATTTGAAATTTTTCCAAACTTTAGTATCTTCTTTAGACAAAATTCTATGGCTAGCCATACTTTTATTGTTATTTATTATAATCTTCAACATTGCATGTTATGTGTTAAATAACTTTGTAACAATATTTATAATACATAAGCTTTATCAGAACATGTCAATAATTGGTTTCGAGGCCCAGATTTTATTTTATTCAGGTCGTTTAGGTGGTTATATATTGCTTAAATTATTGCTTGTAAGTTTTATGAATGAATATAAACATGTAAATAAGCATATTTTGGAACCCGGGGTTTCATTTAATATAGCAACATTTATAGTTCAAGAAGTAAGGAGTTTATGTAATGCTTATAAGAATTAAGATTTAGGTATAATTATATTTCAGCATTACCAAATAAAATTTATCCTCTCAACTCAATAGGTAATAATCTAATTTATGATTGTTGTACCCACTTAGTTAATCCACTGAAGTTATAACATTAACATATTATAATGTTGTAGAAAAGGGTGACTATATTGTAAATAAAATGGAGGATCAATAAAAAGTTTTTTTGAATTACCTATTTTTTCCTAATTTTATTCATGACTAACAATTTGTGTGTGTCAGCTTTAAAGAGGCTTTAATTAAAGGTCAAATAACCTTCTCACTGTTAAAACTTAATATTAATGAGTCGGGAAATCTGAGTAATCTAGTTGGGTTGCGGAATTAGAGCATATAGTTGGGAAATTCAAAGTGCCTCTCCCAAGATATTTTTCGTGTGACCCCCTCCTGTGACTGTCCATCGTGTATAATGCACCTCCAAAACAAGATCTTAGATCTTCAAGAATAGCAATAGGTCATTTGGTGTTTTAGCATGGCTTTCTAGCAAACTATGAGTAGAATAGGACTAAACACAAAATAAAAAATACCCCTGCCGCACCAAACCTTTCCATTTGCCTGATTGGATTTTAAAATGTCACATTCATTCCATATTTAAATAGAAGATCTAGTTCACAAAAGTGCCGAGTAACCAGGTTCTTCCTTTTACATAGGACCAAGCGCTGGGTACACACACATGGGGTCAGAACAAAAGATAAGATGATCTTGTCAAGATCCCATCACTCTCTGTTCATTGAGTACCCAATAATGACTAGATCAATAAATCAATCAAACAAATATTCTTTATTCAGAAGAAAGTTTAGACAATATATGGAAATTGAACGTTGCTGCCATACCAACAATAATGCACTGCTATCCACCGCTAATCGGATTCACTATCATCAGTATCCCAATAGCTATGTCCACACACTCGTGCGATTTTGTGTCCGCTAAACGCATGCCTCTTAACACATGCCCTGACGCATGCGTCAAGGCATGCCCGAAATGAACAGGAAGGAGCTCTATTCCATAGCGGATAGCGCACAGCGTAGCGCAAGACGATCTACTAGCCCTTGATTTCTGAGCATTTCAACTCACAACTGCTTTACATATTTGACAAGTCTTCCGTGTTGTAGTTGCTTAAGCATATTGAATAGCTAAGTAAGAAACAACAGAATTCATAGAAGATTGTCGCTCTCATTTGTGTTAGTGAGACATGTACGGCAAAAAAAAAAAATAAATAAATAAATAATAATAATAAATTAAATATATTGAAATTACACACAATTAATGAATTAAATTCAAAAGATAATTTGGAGTTTTATAGTACTTCTTCATCTACATTGTCTGCAATGATTTCTTAAGTTTTGGAACTTTAATTAACACTAAATATGCCGCACCATCCCTCCTATCAGAATAGCGTCGTCTTCATCCAATTAGGAAAAGGTATCTAACTAGAAAGTGAGGAAGGTGACGCATGAGTGTGGACAGCTAAAATTCATGCCTCAAGGGGAGTGCAATACCGCTTGTATTGGTGCATTTTGAATTGAATGTTGAATTTAAAGCTGAAAGGCACATTGAAATTGAAAGCAAACAAGTGTGGACATTGCTATTCAACCCCTGGAAGATTAATTGCCGGAAAAAATAACCAGAGGAGTGGAGACAGAAGAAATAACACTATCGAATAACAATGCTCAAATGTGTTGGTTAGTCTATGATACTGTGTTGAACTGTGATTCGATGTCAGGAACTCAATAATCTGATGTGTCCCATTGCACCTGTAAATTTGATCTAGTTGCAATTAGAAAATGCACGGCCACCTTTAAATCAAGGTGGTTGTGCTAAATCCCATTCAATTTTTATTGGTATGAATTGCTCAATACAGTTATAGTGTAGGAACCTAAAGAATTAAGGCCTGCCCAGGCAGCCACGGTACGCTGTCTGCGCCCTGCGGTGTGGGCCGGTATTTATACCGCCTTGACAAATACACTGCTAGCTGTATGGTAGCATTGGTAGGTTGCCCTGGTGCCCACACTGGAGCGGTACGCTGTACGGTGCTGGGCGTAACTAATTTGTGATTGAGTGCCTGTTGTGTTCTTGGACATGTGAGATGTCTTCGTGTAAATGTTGTTATTGTTTGCTACAGCTAAGGATGAAGATTGTAGATCTCGGAAATGGATACACAAAATCAACCAGAAGAGAATGGAACTTGGTGAATATCATAATGCCAGATCTCCGAAAAGATGAAAAAAGTTTTTACATTTACTTCTGAATGACCATGGAATTTTTTGAGGAGTTGCTGCCTAGGATGATATGATTGAGAAAAAAATAATCCAAACCTTTTTCACAACACATTAAACATTTAAGTACGGTATCTTATTACTACTTACTTGATTCATCCAGTTCCTTTGCAATAATATCCCAGATGCGGCCCTTCTTTATGTTCTTGTAGTCCTTGTGACTTAGATCATAAAGCACTGGGTACAAATAGACTGTTTCTATCAATCCATAAGTAGACATGCTATGCTGCTAGCTAAACTGACAATTAATTGCTCTACACAGAGAATATGCGTAGCGCGCTGAAATACCGCGCAGCAAAAATAGGGCATGCAGCATTTTTGTGGTACGAGGGTACCTAAATTGTACAGCGCCGCTGGCAGTATACCGCGCCAGTGTGTGCGCCCCAATTAATTAGCGATCACTTTTATTTCGCATTTTTTTTATTCCCTATCAAACGATACCAAGTTCAAAAAGATCGATTAAGAAATAGCTGAAATATTATGATTTTTAGTTGTAAACAGGGTAGAATAAGGCTAAGCTTGTCAGGTTTTCCCCATTTTACAACTAAATATCAATACTTTAGCTATTTCTTAATCGATCTTTTTGAACTTGGTATCCTTTGATAAGGAATAAAAAAATGCTGATTAAAAATGTGCTTGGCATTTTTGCGTAAAATTAGCCATTTTTTAAATACAAGTTTAAAAATTGAAATGACCGCCATTATTTTGAGATCTTAAGATATGACAGTTATTACACTAATGACAGTTATTTGTTTTTAAATAACTCCTGTAGTATATGTAATACACTTTGCAATAGCTCGATTTCAAGCAACATGTACACTACCGGTACGGCCGTGACACTCCAGTAGTAATTCATTAATAATCTATATATTAATTTGAAACTGTTTTTCTTTGTCACAGCTAATTTGAGAGAACGGCTGGGCGTAGAAACTCGGTAGGGGTATCTAAAGAAAGGTCTTGGTCTGTAGATGAGCCATCAAAAGAGAAATGTTTTAAATTCCCTTGGGGCTCTGCCCCAGTGGCCTTTAAATTCCCATCCCATGTTATTCTTATGGAGGAAAAACGGGTTTTTGTCACAGCTAATTTCAGAGAACGGCTGGGCGTAGAAACTTGGTAGGGGTCTCTAAAGAAAGGTCTTGGTCTGTAGATGAGCCATCAAAAGAGAAAGGAGGTAAATTCCCTTGGGGCTCTGCCCCAGAGGTCTTTAAAGTTCCCTCTTCAGATTTGTTTACATTACGACCATATGCATACATTTTCACTACCTACTCTTTAATGAAACAGCTGTTAATATTTTAACCCTTCCAGGGCTAAATTAAATGAAGGGCTGGAGCTTAATTATTTTTTGCCAAAAATTAAAAACTAAAGTGGTTGTGTTTTGTATTTATTTCACTTGAAATAATTCGTGGATCATAAAAAGATTTTCCTTAGGGCTGAACTAATTTTTGTACAAAAGTTATGAAGAAAATAAAATTTGATTTGACGGATATATCCGTCTTTGGCCCACAAAAAACATAAGGTGGACGGATATATCCGTCTGCCGCCCTCAGTGATAATCACAAAATATGAACACTGCCAATAATCTTGAGTATTCTTGTGGGCGGTAGACGGATATATCCGTCAACCTTAGGCTATTCCTTCCCTTGTTTTATTTTTTATCCATAAAAATGTATCTATCATTCTAAAGTAAATCTAAACCACTCAGTTTTGCTCCCATGTCCTCAATCCCATTCCCCGCCAATACTTCCACTACGTAAAGACTGTTCTTCAGGTTCATCATATCCATCACATTCCACACTATTATTTTCCCTGCCAAGTATAAAACCCCTCTCAAAAAAAACTTTTTTAAGCATCTCAATAACATCTTCAATTTTCAGATCGTTTGCATTAGTAAATTCAGCTCAATAACATAAAAATAAAGTACAAAATACAAAATGTAAACATCACTCACTTACAACCATGTGTGAAGTGACAGCAATATTTACTTAGGCGCACTCTATGGTGCAAAACAGCCGAAACAGCTGCGGCAATTATTATTGCCAACCACAAAAACAAAATAACCCATTTGTAATGCAGTGTAATGTTTATTACCGTATTATAAACATTGTGTATCAATTCGCTTTTTGGACGGATATATCCGTCTTTATCCCAGAAAAGAAATTTCTCGGGACGGATATATCCGTTTTCAGCCCGGAAAGTAAACAGAGATTGACGGATATATCCGTCCATAGCCCTGGAAGGGTTTTGTGATTTACTGAATCTGTCAAAATGAAGTATTTGCAATGTGTTTTTTCAAATTTTTAAATCGATTTTCTTTTGCATCGTGTCATGTATTGCAATACTGTATAATGTTCTATTACCAAATCAGTGGAAAATCTCCAAGAAGTGATAAAAAGGCAGAAACCAGACCATACAATACAGGGTGTTCATTTGAAAACTTTCCATATCTGTTGTGTGCAAAGGTAAGGCTTTTAACACTTGTTTGTTCTCGTTTACCCCTAATTTGGACATGCCAAATCCAATAAAATTATTTTCAATTTTGAAAAATGCCCCAAAAGGGCCCAATTTGGGGGGTAGAGGTGCTTTTTGAGAAATTTTCAAATGTAAACATGGGTTGTGTGATACATCAATTTAAAGGTCTAATCACCCCGATCATTTTGGTGCAAAAAAGGTTTAATTATCTTTAACTGTATTTACAGGGTGGGTCAAAACGTTTTAAAAAAGGACTTTGAAGTTAAGTACCGTATTACCCTAACTACTGAACGGAACAGCGCCAAATTTCTTTCCAAGCTTATTCTTGAGCTACTCTTTAAGATAACTTGTAGTAAGGGCATTTTCCAAGTTATTTTCTAATTTTTAAAAAATCCCAAATTTTAAGAATAAAAGAAAGTTGAAAACTCAAAATTCTTAAATAGCAAGGTATAACAAATTTCATACCACGTGAAAGGTCCTTTTTTAACAAACATTTTACGTATTTAAGTTTTCTTTCTATCTCTTACCGTTTAAAAATTGCAGTAGAAAAACATAATTTTCTATGGTAAAATTGTAACTAGTTTTCTAATAAAACAGCCAAAATTCGTCAATAGACACATTAAATGGTGTAATAACTGAAGGAAACAATTCATAATTATTTTTAGGCAGATAGGCAAACAAGTCATTACGTTTTACTTTGTGAAAAACAAGTTTTATAGCTGATGAGAAAAACCCAAGCGTGGGCCGCTTTCTGTAGTACCATTGACTAGTCAATGGTAGTATTAATTTCAAAAGTACCATTTCCTGTCGTACCTAATCAAATATGGTGTAAACTTAAAAAATAGACTTTATTTTACTTATTGGTCATAACAAAAGTGTTCCAGGATAACTGCAAAGTGTTTAACAATAGATATCCAGGTAAGACCTTGAGTCATATGGCTGTAAATGATTTAGTTAGGAATTTTTCTGAAACTGGCTCAGTTACCAATGAGAAAAGAACAGGATGAGGGGTCCAAGATGAATTCTGACACACGTAAAAGTAGTCGATCAATTTGTTATGAATCCTACTACATCGTTGAACAAAGTGCAATGTGTTTTATTAGAAAACTAGTTACAATTTTACCATAGAAAATTATGTTTTTCTACTGCAATTTTTAAACGGTAAGAGATAGAAAGAAAACTTAAATACGTAAAATGTTTGTTAAAAAAGGACCTTTCACGTGGTATGAAATTTGTTATACCTTGCTATTTAAGAATTTTGAGTTTTCAGCTTTCTTTTATTCTTAAAATTTGGGATTTTTAAAAAATTAGAAAATAACTTGGAAAATGCCCTTACTACAAGTTATCTTAAAGGGTAGCTCAAGAATAAGCTTGGAAAGAAATTTGGCGCTGTTCCGTTCAGTAGTTAGGGTAATACGGTACTTAACTTCTAAGTCCTTTTTTAAAACGTTTTGACCCACCCTGTAAATACGGTTAAAGATAATTAAACTTTTTTTGCACCAAAATGATTGGTATGATTAGACCTTTAAATTGATGTATCACACAACCCATGTTTACATTTGAAAATTTCTCAAAAAGCACCCCTACCCCCCGAATTGGGCCCTTTTGGGGCATTTTTCAAAATTGAAAATAATTTTATTGGATTTGGCATGTCCAAATTAGGGGGAAATGAGAACAAACAAATGTTAAAAGCCTTACCTTTGCACACAACAGATATGGAAAGTTTTCAAATGAACACCCTGTATATATAAATTAACTTCATAAGAAATAATCTTAAGAGCTACTGATTTGAGTAGCTCTTAAGATTATTTCTTATGAAGTTAACTTATATATATTGTATGGGCTGGTTTCTGCCTTTTTATCACTTCTTGGAGATTTTATGGTTGTACGTAGACAATATTTTTTGGCGCATTGCATCTGTAGACGATATTGGGTTGGTGTAATTATTACAATGGAAAAAAGCGAGAAATTCTAGACAATTTGATATACTAAAATTAAACTGAATTAACACTGTGCTACATTTCTTAAGCAATCATTAAAAGAGCCGATTTGCAAACAATGGAAACATAGAAAAGTCATAGAACACAACCAAGTAGAAGAAATACAAATAATGTTTTTTTTTCTCATTTATAATCGTTATTACAGACAACCTAATGCGGGCTATGCGGCTATGAGTGGGAAACATTTGTAGAAAACACTAAAAAACAAGATCAACTTTTGAAAAAAGATAAGATATTTGCAAAAGAAAATTGATTATGTCTAACTGTACACATCGTGACTATTTCCATAATCTTTGAGTCCACTCTTATAAAGTCATCGGAAATTATGACTGTTTTCGTTTTAAAATAACGCCCGTAATGCTTCTCAATTGCTCGAATTCGAGCAACAGGTACACTAGTACAAGATGATACCAAATTAAAAGTATTAAAGTACTAGCTGTAACCCGCGGGCTTTGCCCCGTTTAACTTCTTAATTTTCAAGATTATCTCGTTCGCATGGCTCA